AGCAAAGCTACCCAGGACCTCACTGTTTTCTGAGCAAATTGGCCTCTGGATCAATCCGAGGTCTTCCTTGTGGCAGAAGCATTTTAAAAAAATGTGTCCAGGACCCAACTCGCACTTGGTATATTCCCCCCTCACTTCCCTCGATCATGCAGTATAGCCCATTGTTAACACTCTGACAACTAATAGACGAGCTTTCAACCGGGACAACAGTGGCATTTAACATCTGTACAGTTTCCATCAAGCTGCCTGTACTTCTTTGGCTTTTCGTGGTGCTATGAGAGTCGATGATCACTGGAGTGTAAACCTAACCTGTGGTTCTGATTTCATTAAATAATATGTACGTAACAACAAAAGAATTAGTATTTCTCTAGTCCCAGCCCAACGTTATAAAGCAAATGGGCAAGTGTAGCCTTCCAGATGTTTTGGGGCTGCCATTCGCTGAAGTCTGAGCCACCATAGTCCATCCACAGTGAAGGACATGAGAATTTAATCCCAACAGCGCGTGGAAAACTGCCTGTGCTCAGTGTTGCTCTAAACATTCTTGGACTTCAGCTCCCAGAAGCCTTCGCCACTAGCTGTGCTGGCCAGGATTTCTGGGAGCTGTAGTCCAAAAACATCTGGAGACCCAAGGTTTGGAACCATGGGCCTAAGCACTGGACAACAGTAGTTAACATCTGGGAGTATATTTTTGCCAGGAGGTTTTGGAGACGAGAAAGGTGTGTTTACTCTTACCTTTTTCAAGGTAGATTTTCGTCTTTTGAAAAAACACAACATTTTTGGAAAGCTGATATTTATGTGGATATATTACGCTAGGGACACTGACGATTCTCACTTAGCATTTATATAGAAAGTTTGGCGGGATTATCTCTCTACCATCTCTATCCATTCCGGCTCGGCAGTAATTCTGGGCAGTAGATGATGATTAATATTATAACATTTTAGTGATGTGGAACTGAGTCGGAGATGATGTGATTCAGCCAAGCATCTAATTCGCCCGCCTTCTTACCCATCCCAGTCTTATCAAGTTAATCAAGGTTAGCCTGGGGATGCTGGAGGTGTTTCCTTTAAAGTGCTTAAAAAGTGTATGCTCTATTTTGAAGAGTTTTGTGTCGAAATGGCACAGACTCTGCGTGGAAAAGGTGTATCCTGCACTGAGATAGATGTGAATCTACATGCATTTGTCTGTCGTGTCCTTTGTTTCCATTGTACAGGCTGTGAGTGCAGTGGCATAAATAAGTTTTTTTTTAAAAGAAGGTTGGGTGGATAAAATTATAAGGGAGACACAGCATATTCTGTGGCCACAGAGTGACGACTCTGTTGGATAGGGTGGCAGAATGGGACAAAGTAGTTAAAATCCTGTACAGAAGGTGCTTTACACCACAGCATATTTTTTGCAAGTCCTACGTAAAGTATTGCCCATATTCTTCCAGTTTTGTGTCAGTAGCATCAGATGCTAGATGCACTTTTTAGTCCAAAAGTTCACGGCAAGATGGATTTTTCCAGTTCTTCATACTGGCACATGTCTGATGAAGTGGATGGTCCTGATTCATGAAAGCTCGCAGATCATATCAAAATTTTTTAAATGGGAAGGTAATAGCGTTCCATGTCTAAGTCACACTCACTGGCCATGTGACCACGGAAGATTGTCTTCGGACAAAAACACTGGCTCTATGGCTTGGAAACGGGGATTGGTTTGTTCTTAGGGAACTGAAACAAAGGCTAAAAGTGGCTGAATGCTGGCTCCAATATTTACACCTCAATAGGGTTGTTAGCAGAGTTAAATAGTAACTTAACAAAACCTTGCTCTTTAAAACTGTGGTCAGCTGTCATTTTATTCCATTCATGATGTAATATTTGGAACCAATTTGTGATTATCTCATAGGTTAAACTTTTTAACAGCACTAAGTTCACTGACTGGTTCCCATTTCATTTTCTCTTTTCAAAGGGACCCTTTGGAATCTGTCATCCTATGAGCCCCTGAAAATGGTGATCATTAACCATGGTCTCCAGACGCTGACCAATGAAGTGATTATTCCCCATTCTGGTTGGGAAAATGAGCCAAAGGAAGACTCAAAACCTCGAGATGCGGAATGGACAACAGTCTTCAAGAACACTTCAGGATGTCTGAGGTAAGACTGGAGCAAGGTGCTCATACCATATTTCTATATTCTGAAGATGATAGATGGAACAGTAGAGAAAATCTATGGTGGTGCACAAGATCTGTATTTATATTCCAAAAAATGGATTATGAGGTAGAAAATCTTACTACTAGAGTTTTTTACCATCTGTACTCAAGAATATATCCAAATATGTAACTATTCTTTGAATTCCTGATTTGAAATTTGCCTTCATTAGTTTACAGTGTAATCAACTATGCCAATACATGTGAGATACAGTGATTTGAAGGAAATCATTCATTCATTCATTCATTCATTCATTCATTCATCCCTGCCTTTCTTCTTGAAAATGATCCAAGGTGGCTTAGACCATTAAAAGACAATGTTTAAAGCTAAAAAAAAGTAAATATATAAATACTAAAAAGGATCAGATGAAAACCACACTGAAAAGTGGTAAACAAAAGCGACAACAAAAATACATTCAAAGCAGTATGGCACAACAATCCATTGAAAAAAACCCACTCAGACAGCCAGTCATTGAGAAAAAGCCTGTCTGAAGATAAAAGTTTTTGTCTGCTTGCGGAAGGACAGCAAAGATGGGGTCTGTCTGGCTTCCAGTAGCAGGGAGTTCCAAAGTCTAGGAGTAGCCACAGAGAAGGTCCTCTCCCAAGTCCCCAACATGCCTTTGCCTTGGTCCCTGTGTGGGCTGCCCCATCTCACTCTATTCATTGTTGTATCATGAATGAAAACTCCTTGGAGCAATGAACCATAATTTCCCATTGGTCATTTCTTCCAAATGCCCAATTTGCTTGTTTCTTAGGGAGGTGCAGGTCAAAATGTCCATACAGGAAATCCCAAACATCGAATTCCTCTTGCATCCTCCTCCGAGGGTAGGAAACAGACCCTTTTTTTCATCTGCAGAAGTTCTGTGCAATATGGAGTTTCAGCAGAAACTGAGCTGAAATAAATTGATCGACCTCATTTCAACCATCCCCTTGTATTTTCATCTTGTCTTTTGGACCAAAAATAATCCACCACATATCTCTCGCGCTTCCAAAACTCCCATGTAGACATCACCTAGTAACAGAGGCAGTAACAAATTCATGATTGATCATCCATGCAAGAAACAAATGGATGGATATTTTTGCCCTCTCCATCTAAAGAATCTCTGGAAAAAAATAAACTTGAATGGGAAAACTTCAGGATCATATTGCAGATTTTCAGTTGAGCAGAGACTGCTAGATCTAGTCTCCATAACTCTGTATGAAATATATTTGTATCCCCATCTTATTAAAGTCAGTGTTCTGCGTTGCTTGTAATCATGTGCTCTCAAAGACAGGAAAAGGGTGGAACTAATAAAATAACATTTTAAATCAACTTGCTCGAAAGAATCAGAAACATAGCTACCTTAAAGCAGCTCAAACCACATATTTGTCTAGCTGTCTGTATACAGCGTATGTTGACTGGCAGCCCGCATTTCACATTGAAGTGTTTTCCTATCCTTCTTGCAGATGCTGAGATGTAATCTTTGTTACTGAGCTATTTTAACTATTATGTCAATAGGGATAGATTTTTTTAAAAAATCTAAAAGCAACCAGAATTGCAGAGAAAGGGCTTAATGGTAGGATTGGCATGGGAGGGGGGGTTGGAGGGGAGAAATGAAAGATAAGGTCATGAGAAAATAAACGAAGTGTGAATTTTGCATTCGGAAACTTTTGGGACTCCAAACTCACCTATGTCCACAATCCTTCCGAATTAAAATTCTTGAACATGCAAACCTCAGTGGATTGGGAGAGCCATCACCATGTCCCCTGTCTCACGTGTGGGTCATTTGCCCTTGTCCCTTTCCTGACATGCAGGTTTTCTAGTGGGAAATGCCAGCCGTGATAGCCTGTGCCTTTTGTAATCTTGGGGATCAACTTCTCTGATGACTTCCGAGCCTTCTGTAACCCCGGGGGCCGGCAGAGAACTTGCCCTGCTGACACAATGCCCTATTTTTGGCAGCCTGCTGGTGTGGGTCACACCTTCCTAAATGGGCCAGTTGCTAGCGCAGCGAGGCTTGGAAATGAGCTGTAACAGATTTAGAGCTCCTTTCGTCCATGAGATCATGCACTCTTGAGCACATACCACTCCAAGGCAAGTAAACGTTCGCTTGCAGACTGCTTAGAGGCTTGGTCTGGTTACCCAGAGTGAGATTTTCCTTGGTACAGTGCACAGAATGTTAAAAATGTGGCAGCTTCTCGTTTGTGTCAGCGTCTTGTCTGGGGGGGACAGGGAATCGATAAGCTGTTTTCATGTCCCTTTTGAAGACACTAGTAGAGCAATATCTCACATCCGTGGAAGAGAATAAGATTCTTATGGAAATCTCCATTTTGCATGTCCTTTGCATCCATCCGTATGAGATGTCCACAAACGCAAGAGTTCTTTGGGGATGATTGTTGTCCACCTTCTGCTTCATGAATGAAATGGCTTCCGGCTGCTGTCTTCTTTTCAACCCAGCCCTGATTAATTTGGACTGAAATAATGTGTATGCAAGAAGTGGGCTCCCTTTTATATCAGTGGTTCAAGCTACGCTCCTTGCAGATTTCAGCTTATTGTGATTTTGCTTCACTTTTCCTTCAATTACTTGGTTTGTTCTTAGGGAACTGAAACAAAGGCTAAAAGTGGCTGAATGCTGGCTCCAATATTTACACCTCAATAGGGTTGTTAGCAGAGTTAAATAGTAACTTAACAAAACCTTGCTCTTTAAAACTGTGGTCAGCTGTAATTTTATTCCATTCATGATGTAATATTTGGAACCAATTTGTGATTATCTCATAGGTTGAACTTTTTAAGAGCTCTAAGTTCACTGATTGGTTCCCATTTCATTTTCTCTTTTCAAAGGGACCCTTTGGAATCTGTCATCCTATGAGCCCCTGAAAATGGTGATCATCAACCATGGTCTCCAGACGCTGACCAATGAAGTGATTATTCCCCATTCTGGTTGGGAAAATGAGCCAAATGAAGACTCAAAACCTCGAGATGCGGAATGGACAACAGTCTTCAAGAACACTTCAGGATGTCTGAGGTAAGACTGGAGCAAGGTGCTCATACCATTTTTCTGTATTCTGAAGATGATAGATGGAACAGTAGAGAAAATCTATGGTGGTGCACAAGATCTGTATTTATATTCCAAAAAAATGGATTTTGGTGTACAAAATCTTACTACTTGTATTTTCATCTTGTCTTTTGGACCAAAAATAATCCACCACATATCTCTCGCGCTTCCAAAACTCCCATGTAGACATCACCTAGTAATAGAGGCAGTAACAAATTCATGATTGATCATCCATGCAAGAAACAAATGGATGGATATTTTTGCCCTCTCCATCTAAAGAATGTCTGGAAAAAAATAAACTTGAATGGGAAAACTTCAGGATCATATTGCAGATTTTCAGTTGAGCAGAGACTGCTAGATCTAGTCTCCATAACTCTGTATGAAATATATTTGAATCCCCATCTTATTAAAGTCAGTGTTCTGTGTTGCTTGTAATCATGTGCTCTCAAAGACAGGAAAAGGGTGGAACTAATAAAATAACATTTTAAATCAACTTGCTCGAAAGAATCAGAAACATAGCTACCTTAAAGCAGCTCAAACCACATATTTGTCTAGCTGTCTGTATACAGCGTATGTTGACTGGCAGCCCGCATTTCACATTGAAGTGTTTTCCTATCCTTCTTGCAGATGCTGAGATGTAATCTTTGTTACTGAGCTATTTTAACTATTATGTCAATAGGGATAGATTTTTTTAAAAAATCTAAAAGCAACCAGAATTGCAGAGAAAGGGCTTAATGGTAGGATTGGCATGGGAGGGGGGGTTGGAGGGGAGAAATGAAAGATAAGGTCATGAGAAAATAAACGAAGTGTGAATTTTGCATTCGGAAACTTTTGGGACTCCAAACTCACCTATGTCCACAATCCTTCCGAATTAAAATTCTTGAACATGCAAACCTCAGCGGATTGGGAGAGCCATCACCATGTCCCCTGTCTCACATGTGGGTTATTTGCCCTTGTCCCTTTCCTGACATGCAGGTTTTCTAGTGGGAAATGCCAGCCCTGATAGCCTGTTCCTTTTGTAATCTTGGGGATCAACTTCTCTGATGACTTCCGAGCCTTCTGTAACCCCGGGGGCCGGCAGAGAACTTGCCCTGCTGACACAATGCCCTATTTTTGGCAGCCTGCTGGTGTGGGTCACACCTTCCTAAATGGGCCAGTTGCTAGCGCAGCGAGGCTTGGAAATGAGCTGTAACAGATTTAGAGCTCCTTTCGTCCATGAGATCATGCACTCTTGAGCACATACCACTCCAAGGCAAGTAAACGTTCGCTTGCAGACTGCTTAGAGGCTTGGTCTGGTTACCCAGAGTGAGATTTTCCTTGGTACAGTGCACAGAATGTTAAAAATGTGGCAGCTTCTCGTTTGTGTCAGCGTCTTGTCTGGGGGGGACAGGGAATCGATAAGCTGTTTTCATGTCCCTTTTGAAGACACTAGTAGAGCAATATCTCACATCCGTGGAAGAGAATAAGATTCTTCTGGAAAGCTCCATTTTGCATGTCCTTTGCATCCATCCGTATGAGATGTCCACAAACGCAAGAGTTCTTTGGAGATGATTGTTGTCCACCTTCTGCTTCATGAATGAAATGGCTTCCGGCTGCTGTCTTCTTTTCAACCCAGCCCTGATTAATTTGGACTGAAATCAATTCAGCAGACCTCTTGTGCCAACTGATTTAGGAGATCTGCTGTGGTTTAGAACTTGAAGGTCTGATCTTTGATCCGTGTAGGGGGTTCCTGCATTGAGGCAGACCGCCACTATTCCATGCCTCGCGGCTGTGGCCGGTTTGTCACTTCTAGGCTGAGCGTCTAGTGATGAGTCTGTCTCTCTGTTTTGCCAGGCTGTCTATTCAGTAGCAGGTACAGTCTGCTACTAGGACTGCATTCAAAGCTTTGCCAGATGATAAAACCTTCATGTGCTTTCACCCTGCGGATGCAGGATTTGAGAGCCAAGAGCTATGGAGAATTTTGTGGAGGATAATGGTCACAGAATACAGATACAACAAACCCTTTTAAAAAATGTAATTGGAATTCCTCCAGTCTTGTTATAGCATTTGCGTACGTGTGGAAAAATTGAACTCTGCTGTCCACGGACATAAAAAGGGTCCTGGTGACACCAAATTCTAGATCAGCATCCTTTCCCCCCCTTTGTGGCCAACCGAGTACCGTAGGAGCATGTCTTGGTTTTATACCTTCTTTCCAAAACTCCACAGCCCCATTTGAAGTGTGAAAGGGGGGGGGAGAGTTTTGCTTTCCCATTGGTTGCCACTCCTCGCAATTTGGCCGAACACTCCGATTTAAGAACATTTGGCCTCTCATTTACCTAATTGGCAGCTTCAACTCAAGTAGACCTATTGAAGCAATGGGATTTATATATACATTGCCTTAGAATTCAGCAACTGATTTAGTAGACCGACCATAGTTAGTACTGAGCCTCGTGTCTCAGTGGTTAAACTGCAGTACTGCAACCAAGTCTCTGCTCATAACCGACAGGCTCAGATAGGTGGCTCAAGGTTGTCTCGGCCTTCCACTCTTCCAAGGTTGCTAAATTTAGTACCCAGCTTTCTCTTCTCATAACCTGAGTTCAATCGTGACAGGCTCAGATAGGCGGCTCAAGGTTGTCTCGGCCTTCCACTCCTCCAAGGTTGCTAAATTTAGTACCCAGCTTGCAGGGGAGAGGCAAATGTGCAGCCTGCATCATCATGTTATAAACCACCCAGAGAGTGCTTTAGCGCTATGGGGCAGTATATAACCCGCACACTTGGCTTTTGCTTTAGAACTGAACAATTGAATTTAACTTGAGAGGAGATGCCATTATGTGAGCCACGATTTCCTTTTGCCAGCTCTGCCTGGCCTTATGAATATTTCATTTATATATTTACTTGTCACCATCTTGCTTTTCTTCACAATGAGCTCACAGGAACATACATCTTCTCTTTCCCCAGCGTGTCTTCTGTGAGGTACAGTCAGGCTAAGGAGAGTGTCACCAGTAGAGCAACGATGTGTGTACTGTATTTCCACCCCACCCCACCCCCGCATGTATGTTTTAAGACTGGGTTTTAAGTGGTTTTGCTTTCGACGGATTTATCCTTTAATTTTATTTGCTTGGCACTTCGCCTCCTGTCCCACTTGCGAGAGGAAGCTCGGATATAAATCGAATTTAACAAAGAAAATAAAGATGAGAAGCACGGATTTCTCAGAGCAACCGATGTACGCCAAGGGTGCGAGCATGTCACATTTCAGGCCTATTTGACTTGGGAATCTTTTGCCTAAAACATGATGTTTGGTGTTCGTGTTTCCTTTCTTTCTTTCGCCTCCCCTCCCGCTTTCTTGCTCTGCTTTTGAATCCTTCTGCTTTTATGACAAGGGCTAATAGTTCGTACAAAGCTAATAAAAAGGAACTGCGTTGTACCTTGTAGAGCACTGGAGTGTACTTCAGACCCATTTCCACTGATTAATATGTACCTTCAGACAGTTTTGTTCATTTCCATATCCTTGGGCTGCGGTCTTTAAATTGCGCTTTCCGTTCCCCAGGGAGTAACTTTATAAATGGAAAAGGTAATGAGAATCGCCTGAGAGGCCCTGTTACTGAATGATCATCAGCCCCATAAGAGAGACCAGAGCCTTCTGGGTGGGATCCTGACACAGTAATTGCATGCTGACGTGCACCCCACTCCTCCTCTTATTGCTGTCCAAGGAAGGAGATAGCGGATGTGGTGGGGGGCTGAAAGGTTTAGCTGAGTGAGCATTAGATTCAGTGCCTACGGCAGACATTAAATTGATCATTAACAGATTAAGGTAATCTACACCAGAGATTGTCAACCCCAGGTCCGCGGCCCGGTCCCGGTCCGTGGCCTGAGCCGGACCGGGCCGCAGAGGCAGACCTATGGCCCTCCTGCATGCACTCCCCTCCCCGCAACTGCTTTGCACACATGCACGCCTGCCAGTGCTGGCGTGAGTGCTCCCCCACCCCTTCGCGCATGTGCCCAAGCGAAGGGGTGGGTGTGCAGTTGTGCAGGTGTTCCTGTGTGCAAAGGGGTGGGGGAGCGCTTATGCTGCCACTGGGGCTCATGTATGCTCCCCCACTGCTTCGTGCATGCGCCTGAGAGCACACGCGCATGTGCCTGAGAGCACGCCTGTGCCCACCCACACAAGCTTGGTGTGTGTGTGTCCCACATTCCTCAGAGGCTCAGTGGGTCCGCACTCCCATAAAGGTTGGGGACCGCTGATCCACACTACAACATTTTTACCCTCCCCCTCTCACTGCTGCCATTATCATCTACATCCATTTTTTAATGATCTGTGCACAAGACTCCTCTCTCTGTTGACTGGTTTTTGATTTTCTTTAACGAAGCTCACACTTAGGGGGCAGATGGGAAAGAGGTTGGGAGGTTTTCCGACACCATTCCTGATGTGGGCACTTAGGACCTGCCATAACTGCAGACGTCTCTGGGTATCTAAGAAGAGGAACATGGTCCTGTTTGGGCGGAGACAAGCGGCATCTCATAAACATGTTTTGGGCTGGATATTATGCTGCAAGCAATTGTCTTAACTCCTCCTCTGCTTTTGAGATTAGAAGCCATGTGTTTTCTCCAAAAATTAATCGGAGGGCTCTTCCAATTCAAATGCCCAAAAACCTTCAAGGAAGGTGGAGGGTTTGAAATAATGCTCAGAGGGCCCACCTCCCTTCATTGTATCATGAACAAAGAAAAGACACTGGGAGTCTCCACTCATTTCAAAACTCAGAGCTGGAGCGCACAGTACTTGTATGAGCATGTGCCTTATCCAAGTCTTTTATAACATAGGCTGAGTAAACATTTGAGGAGGGAAATATGCTGCCTCCAACCCTTCTGTTGCCATTGTTTGAGCTCTTTCATTTTGGGAGCAGGGGCGGCAGTTCCCAGAATCCTCCACCAACACAGAGGATTGAACTCCCAAACTTTGGCTCTGAGAAGCCCACCGTTTCCAAGTCCTGCAC